ATTACTAAAACACACTACACATGCACCTATGAATTATGAAACAAAAGCAAGATTTTCAACAACTGAGAAAGGGTGCAACTATTTGGGACAGTTTGATTTTCTTGGAATGATTAAATGTTGTTTGGCATAAATGCTGAATCATGGAGAAATAGTTTGGAGATCTGAGACCACAAACTACACAGAGCAATAAGTAGGCTTATATAACAAATGTTTAAGATATATGGAAAGAGCATCTAATTCTTCATTAATTCGACTGAAAATCTATTCCAGAAGTATTAATATTTTCAAGGTGGAGGCTTATGTAATGATATGAGTAGATATTATCCCTTATTATGAAAAAGAGAATCTCCTGGTGGAGGTTGACCTTTCCCTCTGCCCTCTTTAAAGCATTGTATTAACAATGCATTAAAATGCACAATTAATGAATACATTAAAAATGATACATTTCTTTGAAGTTGTGTTATTACCTCTCATTAGTCTTGGTCAGGGGTCAGCAACCTATGACACCCGAGGTACCTTTGCATAGCACTCAAGGCTTCTAGCAGGGCCGACATCAGAACTTTTGGAGCCCCTAACACAGCTCAAGGTCTGGGCCCCCGGGGGTCCGCCTTCAAATCCCGCCCCAGGACCCACCTCCAAATCCCGCCCACACATACAGGCATACATACTGACACACACATACTGAAACAGACATACACACACATATACAGACCAACAGACACACATAGTGACACACAGACACATACTAACATACATACTGACATATACACATACACACATACATTCTGACATACATACAGACACATATATACATACTGACATACTGACATACATACACATACATACACACTGACATACATACACACTGACAGACATACATACTGACAGACATACTGAAAGACATACATACCAGACACATGCATATATACATACACATACATACATTCTAACAGATATACATACATACAGACAGAAATACATACTATCAGACAAACATACATAAATACTAACAGACATAGATACACACATACTGACACACACAGCTCATTTTTCAGCCATCCTCCTGTTACTTACCTTTTCTTTGCAGGAGGGTGGCTACGGTTGATGGGCGTTGGTGTGGGCTCGGGCCTGGCTGTGTCTCTTTTTTGGAGTGAACTGGGAGGAAGTGACCAGCTGTCACTTCCTCCCAGCAGTACTTGCGGCTGCATTTTTTTTTTAAAGGGGCCCCGCGCGCTATTACATGGCCACAGCGCTGACTGGGCCCCTGAAAATATAGGGCACACCGGGTGGCCCTAAATGCCCCGGGTGGCCCCATTACGGTTGTCACACCCTGATGGCGGCCCTGGTTGCTAGGCTCTGCCCTATCAGGAGCCCCAGTGGAACTTCAGATATCCGCTAGTACACACCGAATGGTAATTGCAGGTGGTGAAGGATAATCCTCAATGTATGCATTGCAGCACTTAGAGTAAGCAATCAATTCCTCCCTGTACTTGTGAACGTGAATTTTTACTGGAGTAAGAGCAGCCTGCCACAGTTGTTGCAGCACAGCACCTGCCCTTGACCTGTACCAGACAAGTTCTGTCCCCACTGGACATTGCTAGATATACACAGAGTGGCAGAAAGAAAACTCCCCCTCATACAAA